CCGTGGTTCCACGGCCCCGGGGGTCCCGCCGAGCCCTGTCCCCCCCAATAGAGAGGTTCCCTGGATTTGGGGGGGGGTCTTAACGTGAGGGTCCCCCTTTCTCTCCCAGGCAAGTGGCCTCCCAGTGCCGATTACTTCAGTCATCCTCGGGGCGCCCGTCCTCCCCCCAAATCCCCCAGCTCCCCGACGATCCCATCTCGCTGCAAGACGCCCCGGGGGGGCTTTTCCAGTTGCCCCCCGGTGACCCCTTCCCCGAACGGGTGACGGTGGCTTGGTTATCGGTGTTTGCCCTCGCCTTCGCTTTGGTTTGCGATCCCCAAGAGAATCTATCCTTGGCCGAAATCACCCTTCGCCGCCTGGCCCCACGTCTCCTCGTCTCCCTGCGCCTCCTCGGCCCCGGCGCCGACGTCCTGCTCCGACCCGAGACCGCCGACGTCCTCCTCGACCGACTCCTGCCCCACGGCCAGATGCTTTTCCTCAACGAACGGTTCCTCCAGGCCGTGGACCGGGAGGTGGGCGGCAAAGCATCCCGCTGAGCCACAGCCGGCGTCCCTGCCCCGATATTTTGCGGGGAGAGACAAGGGAGGGATCCGAGACGGTCGTCAGCAGGATGGACGGGAAAAGCGGCTCAGGAATAAAGAGCAACGAGAGCAAAGAGCAGGTTTTTAATCCCTTTTTCCCCCTGGACGCCGTCGCGGGAGGCCTGGGGAGCGCTAATAGTCGTCCCCATAAAAATCCGCCCAGAGCTGGGACGGCGCAGCGTTCCCACGCCGCTTGTGCGCACAGGCGATGGCTCGGCGGGGCTGTAAATGGACGTTACAAAAGCGGTGGTTCTCCCGGGGGGGTCGGCAAACCTCCCACCCGCCGGCCCGAAGGACGGACGGGCGCTGGGCGCCTCCGTCCCCTCCGAGCGAGGGACCCCACGTTGGGGTTTCCCCGGGCGGGTGCTTTGGGGCGGGCGGGGGTCGCTGGCGGGGCAGCAGAGGCCGCGGGCAGCGCAGGTCCCCTCTGCTGTGGGACAGGATGGCTGGGGACGGGGACAGGAGGGACCCTGGGGGGGACGGGGCCACCGGGGGGTGCAACTGGCCCTGCTGCATCGGGGTCGGCGGGGCGGAGGATTAAATAACCGGGCAGCGGGGCAGGACGCGGCCGTGTGCCCGGCACGGGGTGTTGGTTGTCCCCAGATGATGCCGCTCAGGGCGGGGGGACATAGGTGATGCCCTGGGAGGTGGCAGGAGCCAGCACCCGCCTGCCCGGTGGCACAGCGGTGAGTGGGGTGCCAGGAGAGCCAGGGAGCTGGGAGCCACCGTGCCCGGCTCTCCCGCCACCACCGGCGTGCCAGGGACGGGCTGGGCGCTGCATCGGCCCTGCAGAGAGGCTGCCGGGGGTCGGACCCCAAAACCACACCGGTAAAGCTGAAGCGCCCGGGGAGCGGCGCTGGGCATCGGCGGTGCCGGGCTTCAGCCGCAGTGGGTCTCTGGCCGGCGGGGATCCGGCCGGGCGTGCCGGTGGGGGCTGCAGGCGCAGAGGGGTCCCGGGGAGGGCGAGAGGCAGCCGGGGAGGTGCAGCGGGAGCGGTTTAATCAGAGCCGAGCGAGGGGCTCTGGGTGCGGGGGGCAGCGCCGGGATGGCACCGGGGTCCGGAGCATTGGCGGCGGCGTGGCACGGGCGCTCGCCTGGGAGCTGCCCTGCTTTAGGGAGGAGCGGGGGTCCCCGGGGGGCTCATCCGGCACGCGTGCGCGGGGCCGGCCGCGGGGCCTCAGGGCCAGCTCAGGTCCCTCTTGCAGATCCAGGAGAAGGTGAAGTTGCAGTTATGGTCGTTCCAGAAGCCGTTGCCCACGGGGTGGATCTGGGCGCAGTCCTCCCGGCCCCAGTGCCCGTGGTCCGTGTTGTCCGGCTGTCCTGCCGCCCAGAAACTGCCGGGGCAGAGCAGGGTCAGCGGGGAGGGGCTGGGGGCCGGGGGTGCCGGCCTCCCCCCCGCAGCCCCGCTCACCTCTGGGCCTGGGAGTAGGCAGTGCCGTCCACCCAGCGCCAGGAGCCCCCCGGGCCCGTGGCCACCAGGCCGATCCAGTAGGATCCTCCCCTCGTCTCCCGCGCCAGGTAGTCCTGCGGGACAGGGCAGGGGCGCGGGCAGGAGGGAGTGTGGGCAGGGGGCACGGGCAGGAAGGGGCACGGGCAGGAGGGGGCACGGGCAGGAGGGTGCACAGGCAGGAGCTTGCACAGGCAGGAGGGTGCACAGGCAGGAGGGCATGCGGGCAGGAGGATGCACAGGCAGGAGGGGGCACGGGCAGGAGGGCGCACGGGCAGGAGGGCATATGGGCAGGAGGGCACCCGGGCAGGAGGATGCACAGGCAGGAGGGCACGCGGGCAGGAGGACGCACGGGCAGGAGGGCGCACAGGACCAGGCAGCAGCAGGGCAGGGCAGGCAGGAGAGGGCGGCGATGGGCGTTGCAGCCCCTTGCACCCACCTGCTCCTCGAGGCTGGTGATGGAGGTGAGGTGGGCATGCGTGGAGCGGCAGGCGGCCTCCGCCTCGACCCAGGGCTTCTGCTCCCCCGAGAAGAAGTAGATCTTGCCGCGGTGGTACCGCCAGCCCAGGGACAGCCCCTGCAGCCACCGCCCTGCGGAGCGGGCAGCCGTGGGGCCGGGGCAGCAGCTGCCGGGGCCGGGGGGGCCGGGGCGGCCCAGGGATGGCTGTCACCCCCCCGTCCCCTCCCCAGGGATGTTACCAAGGTTCTCCGTCCACTTCTGCACCACTGCCGGGCTCTCACTGGGGCTCCAGGGACCTGCTACAGGGTCAGGGAGAGGAGCCGGCAGCAGCCTGCCCGCCGCCCCAGGCAGGGGCCAGAGGCAGGGGCTGGTGGGCAGGGGCTGTGAGCAGGGACTGCAGGCAGGGACTGCAGGCAGGGGCTGGGGCCAGGGACTGCAGGCAGGGGCTGTGGGCAGGGGCAGGGGGCAGGGGCTGCGGGCAGGGGCTGTGGGCAGGGG